CGAGTGAGCTTGACAAGAACAGCCGCTCCTCATGTGGAGGATAATAGCAGGAATGATCTGTCTCCAGGAGATTCCCAAGGCCTCATGCGCACATTATAAATTGCCCTTGTCACTTTGGGGAAACTTATGAAGAAAGATCACCAAAGCCCGCAAAAGCAGCGAGGAAAAAGAACAAAAGCTTCGCCCAAAAGCAGCTTTGCCTGGGAGATGCTCTGGCGCTGCCCACCACTTGCCTCCATTTGCTCAGCAAAGTGGTTTTGAAATGAGCAGAAGGAGTTGGGTCCCCTGGCTCATAAAACACCCGTCCGAGCGTGATGGCAGGAGAGGCAGGAGCAGGGCGGTGCGGGGCAGAGCTCAGCGCTTCGGGCCTGGGACGCTGCGCCCGGCTGCTCGTGCACAGGTAGGGACCAGGCCTGGCCAGCGCGTCCTGGCAGGGACGGGCTCTGCCTCAGGAGAGCCGCCTTCTTCCTTAGTTCTGTCAGATTTCTTACATGCACTCTGCAGATCTTTTAATCTCTTCATGTCTTAGTTCTCCACCTGTAAGACAGAAGTGCTGCTTTTCTGTTCTCTCTTGCCTGCTGGAATGTGGTAAAGCTCGGGATGCCGCAGCTCAGGGTGGGAGTGTGAAATCCTTCCTTATCCCATACAAAGCAACTGCACAGAGCTGGAGATGAGGAGGGTGCAGCTAATAGGGTCACACACTCATTTACCTTTATCCCTTCAGCCTCTGTGAGCCACCGGTGAGGTGAAAAGGGATTCAAAGATGGGGTTGCCATGGGAAATCTGCTTTAATTTGCCCTTTGGCCTCATGTTTCTACATGACAGTATGAAAGAGTGAAAGCGAGAAGCACGAAGGTAGGTGGACATTGCAGTGCACGACTGGTAGGGCCCAGCTCGCACAGGAGGCAGCGGAAGGAGCGCAGACTGCACCGCCTGTGCACGTGCAAGGGAGGCACTTGTGGGCACAGCCCCTCGGGAGTCACACAGAACCACAGGATGGTTGAGGTTGGAAGGGACCTCTGAAAATCATCTAGTCCAACCCCTGCTCCAGTAGGGACACCCAGAGCACAGGGCACAGGGTGGCATCCAGGTGGGTTGGAAAGATCTCCAAGGAAGGAGCCTCCACAGCCTCACAGGGAAGAAGTTCCTCCTCACATGGAGATGGAATTGCCTGGGGTTCAGCTTATACCCATTGCCCCTTGTCCTATCACTGGCCAACACCAAGAGTTTGGCCCTCTCCTCCCTACATTCTCCCCTCAGGTACTTAAACATATTGATCAGATCTCCTCTCAGTCTTCTCTAGGCTAAACAAGCCCAGCTCACTTAGTTTCTCCTCATAAGAGAGATACTCCTGTCTGTCATCTTTGTTGCTCTCTGCTGGACCCCCTCTAGAAGCCCCACATCCCTCTTGTCCTGGGGAGCCCAGAACTGCACCCGCTGCTCCAGCTGCAGCCTCACCAGAGCTGAGCAGAGGGGCAGGATCTCCTCCCTCAACCTGCTGGCAACATCCTCTTGATGCAGCTGGGAGCCCATTGGCCTTCCTGGCCACAAGGGTCACCTGGGAGCACTTAAGAACCTGCAAATGGATTTGTAGGGGTTTCCCTTAAGGTCGCAGTCTTGCCAGGTCAGCTGTCCTAGGTGTATTTGTTCACCTGTTGCCATTGCCCATTAGTGCTGGGGTGGTGCAGAGGGCAGCTGGTGGCTTCAGCTCCCAGTCTCTCTCTGCCAGCTGCTTGCAAGGCATTTTCCTGCCTGCGGGAAGAACAGCAGCCAGCAGTAGGGTCATTTATTTGGCCTTTCATGCTTCAACATGATGGACGAGGATACTGATAAACTGCTGCCTCTGGGAGAACGGCTTTTTTTGGTACTTAGCTCTCATATGTGACTGTATGAGTTGTCTTCCTGCTCACCTGCTTTGTGAGTAACTGCTAAGGACTTCTGGAGCTTTGAGTGCCATGGCTGGGGTTAAAGCCTGGGGATTTTGAGCTCCTCCGCTGTAAATAAAAGCGAGTTTCTTGCCTGCACTTGCGGTCAGGTCTGTGAAGCGAGGTCTGTGTGGAGCCTTGCGGATGTCCCGGTGGGAATGCCAGAGATTCTCCTTGTGACTGTGTTGGATCTTCATGGCTTTTGCAGCCCATTAAGTGCCCAATCCCTTGGCATTGCCCAGCTCCCAAGGCACTTGGCTCCCCAGAGGCTCAGGGCTGCTGCAAGGGATTGGAGCTCCATGTCTTGCAGGAAAAAGAGCAGAAGGGGAAAAATGGGAATCTGCAGCACGTAAAGCTGAGGAAAAACAAAGGTAGGACATGAGTTTGGGAGTACTGCACAGAGGTTGGGGCTTGGGGCCTCATTTTGCTCCAGATTTTTGCAAAACTTTGCAGCAGTCACTGTGCAAAAGTCTGTGCTTTAATCTTCTCTGCTGTTCCTTAGCGTATTTTCCATTATTTTGTCTTGTCTATGCAAGACAGAACTCGGAATAGATTTAGATACCTGCATTCTGTGACTGTACATTTCCTAGTGCCATGGGACACTGATTTCATTTGGGTTTCTAATTTATTTCACAATACTGTGGAATAATTAGAATTATTAAAACCAAAACTGTTCTTTGCTGCCTGTTTCCATTAGGCAAAGCAGCTCAGACTGTCAGGTCTTTGGGGAGAGAGGAGGAGACTTGTTTTTTACCACCTTCTAGTCTTTTGTCCTTCATGACCTTAATTCTCTTGCTAAAATTAACATTTATAAAAGAAAAACAGAGGGGGAAATCAGTCCTGCTTCCCATTTCATCAAACCTTCCTGCAAGAGAAAGGTTATTCCCTTCATAGCCTTCCTACATGGCATATCAGATGATATGATCTGCCCTTTCTCAGTCTAAGTTATCAGCTCTAATGTCTTCCTTCTTTCATTCCTTCTTTCATTATTACTGTTCTCTCCTTGAAACATGAGTGTTTTCCATGTCAACTGTAACGTTGCTGTCTGCTGGTGGTAGATGGAAAGCCAAGCTGGAGGTACAATCGTGTCACCATTAAAGCCAGCAGCAAAACATAATGGTTTCCAGCGTAACCCTTCAAGATGTGGAGAGAGCTGCTTCTACATGCTGAGGAACTAAATGTAATGATCAGATCCTGTCTTTGAGATGTTGAGAGTTTTATAGTTGGCTTTCATAGAACTGGATTAATTCTTTTTTTTTTTTTTTTTTTTTTTTTTTCTTTTTATTGGAGTAAAACAGAACTTTCCACGGATAAGCAGGAAATGATTCCCATACTATGAAGTGAAGGAGCCCAGCTTTCCCAAGGAGTAGCGTTTCTGGCAATCTAATATGAAAACATCAGTTTGGGGTCTAATCAGCTGGAGGAAATTGGGCGCAGATAATGTTGAGTGCACACAACGAACTTCCATCTTTCAGGGAAACCCAATGTACCTACTTTTGTTCTAAGAAAATGAACAATTCAGAAATGGCAAAACATTTTCCTGCAGTTTGTTAGCTTAGACTGTTCATTTTGGGTGGATCCCATATAATATTTTTTTCCCCTACTGACTTTTCTTTTTTTCATTTGAGAGTAAGTCAAAAATTCTTATGTGCATATGAAGCCCCCGTGTGGATTGTGATCTCGGCTGTGCTGGTTTTATGTGGGTGTGGAAGACGTGGACTTCAGTGGCATCCATATGGTTAAATGGTAGAGGGAAGACAAAGATCATCCTTTGCCTTTGCATCACTAAGGTAACTTGCCTCAGATTCAGAGAGCCTGGGGTGCCAAAATGGGCATGTCTCACTTGACCCAGCTGTAAAAGTTGGGGCTGTTGGAGTTAGAGAGTCTTGGAATGGCTGAATGTGAGCTCTGGCTCTGACATGGTCCAGAGCTGATGGTGATACCAGAGCTGATACTTTTAGCTTGCAAACTTAGTTCCTTGCCACTATCATGTCTTTAGGAGCCCTATAAGAGGTGTGGGATCTTAAAAGCTCTCCGTATTGGCCCTTTCTCCCTGGTATCGTATCCTGCTCCCCACGAGCCTCCTCATTTTCCATTTGAGGATCCACCGCAAGCCTTTGTGTTCCGAATGCCCAGCAGTCACTGCTGCGTCTCCGTTCCCCAACAAAGAGAAACCTTATCTTTTGATGGACACATACAGCACATTCTCTGTGACATTTAAATCTCTCTTTGTAGCCAACTCGGATATTTTTGCTGTTAAAGTAAGACCATACAGACGGGTGATTTCATTACTGCAAATGTTATTACACTGAAAGCCTGTTTAAGACATAATGTCACTGAAGGGAAAATATGATCTAGCAGCAAGTGTGGTCTGGTAGAGGGTGCTGGGATTCATCACAGACTAAAGGAAACCTCTCAAACATCAGCCGTGCTAATGGAACAGCTTTTTTCCTTCATCAAATCAAACCAGTCACTTCCTCAAAGCCCTGAGGCTAGGAATTACAAAGAAGATTGAAAGGAATTAGGCACCCAACTCTCACTGACTTTGTATTTGAGCTCCTGAACTGCTTTTGCTGCTTTGGAAATTATAGCCATGCTGTTGGGGCGCTTAGTGAATGTGAATAGAAGTGCATTGTGTTAATGGTAGTTACAGGCAATGCTGCTGACTGCCCATATTCGTAATGATTAGTTCTTGGTCCAAAACTACCGAGGAAAAGAATAATCACAGACACATCCTGTCCTCTCTAACTCAGTGCAGATTTGCTCGTGATCTGGCCCCTGTTCCTACCATGATGCAGATATAATGCCTCTCTCTCTCTCTCTCTCTCTCTCTCTCTCTCTCTCTCTCTCTCTCTCTCTCTCTCTCTCTCTC